TGTGATCCAGCGCTGGTGGAGGCAGCAGTAGTGAATGGTGGTGAATCACCACACAGAAGCCGTCCCCTGGCTCGGCAGGAGAAGACGGTGCATCAACAATGTAGACTCCGCCTGTTACGTCCGTAAGGGGTAGAGTGTTTGCCTCCAGAGCACGCGTTGATTTTTGTTTTCATTATCTGAGCGCTCTGGGTTTCACCTCACGCGTAAACACTCATTAATCGGCCCGCAAAGAACACCTTGATATACAGAGGACTGTAGAGCTTGGGCAATAGTTGGTAGCGCCGCAAGGGAGATGGAATATCGTCTGCTTATTGAACGTGTTCCTTATATTTGCAACAACGACGCCGGTGATTACTTGGCATTAATTGGGAAGGTGAATACAATTGTTCAAATTGTTGCCTGAACTTTTCAGTCTCCTTCTCCTCCTCCTCCTCCGGTTTTGCTGACGAACCAAATCAATCGGCTTTGCCCACGTGACGCGACAACTGCACTTTTGATTGGCTCTCTCACCGACCGGCGGAGTGTCACAGTTAAACACCGTCACGTGATCCCATTCGACGACGATCTGAACCGAAGGCCCGACTTGAAGAATCGCCTAACATTGGCCGGGGAAGCCTGGGCGTAAAAACTTATTGCAAATCCGTGACAATCGCATTTTCTCGTTTTCATCTGTCGATCGATCGATCGCACGAACTTTGCTGCGTGGCGCATCGGAGGCGATGCTGTGCTCGGCGTTTTTTTAAATTTTTTGACCGACGCTGCAGGCAACGCTAATTGTCGGTTAATTAATCTATCGAGCGTCCGAGGTGGGTGCTGCGTCCTCTCGAAGATTAAAATCATTATACCCCCGCTGTTCTGCTGGCGTCCTCAATTTATCACCTCCAGCGAGCGAGCAGGAGACAACTTCCCTGCGCTTGCTCTGTCTTTGGCGATTTGCCAAGAAGGTTTTTTTTCTTCCAAAAATAAAAAAAATCCTGTTCACTTCGCAGCAGTTCAATCTCACGTCATTATTTAGCGTCGTTCATCGTCGTCATCATCAGCTACGAACGACCCACTGCTGGATGAAGAGCTCTCCAAGCCGTCGCCATAGGATGATGATGACGGTGGTGGTGGCCACGCTGCACGTGGCTGCCTTTGATCCGGCGCTACGAAGGCAACATAATTATTTACATTCATTGTAAGGCGCCTTCCACTCACGTCTCAGTGCGCCTTACAGCAGTGAGGGTTGGTGGATCACCGCACGGGTGTCGTGAAACTCCGTTCTACCCGTAGGCGTCGTGATGGAGCTATGCCCTGGCTCGCCAAGCGAGTGGATGAATCGTCATCTGTTTACATCTGTATGGGGTGGCGGGCGAGCGGGGGTTGGGGGCAGGACCCCGAATGAAACCAATAATCTCAATACTTAAGCGTGGCTTTCCTGGGTAAATAAATGACTTTATTATCACCATCGTCATTATAATTTATGTACATCTGTCCGACGCATTGAGCAGCAGGTGCAATTCGGCATCAGATGGCCTTCTCGTCGATGCCACGATTCACCCGTGCGTCACGTGCGTCCTCATCCCCGACAACTCCTCGAAACAGGGCCGGAGTTCACTCCTAGGACAGGGAGGGCGTGGGTCTTGCTGCGGTGAAGTCGAACGCTTCGCGCCTTAGAACCGCGGGCTGGAATGAAGTGACACATCTTCATTTCAGACTCCAACGACGGGAATGGCTGGAGCAGTTAACATCTTGGCGGCTAAGAGATGTTAACTACCTCGCCTGGTATACAGGAGGTCGTGGGGGTCAATCGCGACCTTGAGACCTGCTGTATATTTAAAGTTTACGTGTCTCTCTCTCATCATCATCACGGTGGCTAAGAGATGTTAACTACCTCGCCTGGTATACAGGAGGTCGTGGGGGTCAATCCCAACCCTGACACCTGCTGTATATTTAAAGTTTACGTGTCTCTCTCTCATCATCATCACGGTGGCTAAGAGATGTTAACTACCTCGCCTGGTATACAGGAGGTCGTGGGGGTCAATCCCGACCCTGACACCTGCTGTATATTTAAAGTTTACGTGTCTCTCATCATCATCACGGTGGCTAAGAGATGTTAACTACCTCGCCTCGTATACAGGAGGTCGTGGGGGTCAATCCCGACCCTGACACCTGCTGTATATTTAAAGTTTACGTGTCTCTCATCATCATCACGGTGGATAAGAGATGTTAACTACCTCGCCTGGTATACAGGAGGTCGTGGGGGTCAATCCCGACCCTGAGACCTGCTGTATATTTGAAGTTTGCGTGTCTCTCTCTCATCATCATCATCATCACGATGGCTAGGAGATGTTAACAACCTCGCCTGGTATACAGGAGGTCGTGTGTTCGAGGCCGACCTTGATGCCTGCTGTATATTTGGAGTCTGCGTGTTCTCCCTCCCCATGGTCGCGTGGATTTTTCTTCGGGTCCTCCGGTTTCATCCCTACACGTTTAGATTATTTGGCTTCTATAAATTTCCACACGACAAGCCACTACGTTGAGCTATCATTTGTGGCCGGTGCGCATCTGAAAGAGAGCTAAATAGCCTTACCTGGTGACGTAAAAAAATTGTTTTAGTTTTAGCTGCAAGGCAGAAATCAGTTACCGCCTAAGACCCGAAGTTAAGTGGCGAGCAGCAGACAGCACCCATTTATCTCCTACGGATGATGGAGAGTCCGGGGAACGGCCCCTACGGTAATGTTGGCAGCCGCGGGGGGAGGGGGGAGGGCGAGAAGGTGCCAGCAAGCCCGTGGAAGCTGGCGAGCACGGGGAGCCTGGCTGGCACGGGGGGGGGGGGGGGGGCTGGCTGGCACGGGGAGGGGGGGGGGCTGGCTGGCACGGGGTAGCTGGCTGGGACGGGGAGCCTGGGTGGAACCTCCTCGTGGAGCTTGGCGGGCACGAGGAAGCTGGCTGGAATTTTCGCTCTCAGACCGCACAGACCTCCACCACCACTCCCCCCCCCCACCTCCACGCTTCGTATTCCGCCCGAGTCATGCGCCCTCTTGCGAAAAGAGTTCCGCGGAACATTCAAAGGCTTCCACGACCATCTCCTCCGCGCCTCTCCGCTCGCACGCAAAGACAAAGCTCGCCCGTGTAGCCTTGAACAGGCCGTGTGTGGGGGGGGGGGAGCAGGTGCCGTCGGTGAGCGAGCCTACACCCAACGAAAGCCGGGAGACCTTGCGTGGAACGACGCGACGCCCGGCCGCCTTTGTATCCCCGGTGGTGGCTGACGTTTCACGCGCTCACTTCGCCAGCTACTCTCATTGGAGGCCCAGTCGACCTCAAGGGAGGCTTCAGGGGGGGGGGGGGGGGGCCCGTGAAAATATTCGCCACTGTTATTGGGCCGCGAGTTGGAATTGAACTTGGGTTGTCGGGCTCATGGACCAGTGGGCTGACCACTCCACCACTGCTGCAAACACAGTCCCCCCCCTTATAGCCTTAAATACGTTTTGTTTCGGGCAAGTGTCGTTGGCGAACACACAAAAACACAAAGATCCTCCGTATAGTCCTTCACAGACTGTTTTGGGGCAAGTGCTGTTAGCGAGCGCACACACGGACAAAGATCCCCCGTATAGCCTTCACAGACTGTTTGGGGCAAGTGCTGTTAGCGAGCGCACACACGGACAAAGATCCTCCGTATAGTCCTTCACAGACTGTTTGTGGCAAGTGTTAGCGAGCGCACACACGGACAAAGATCCCCCGTATAGTCCTTCACAGACTGTTTTGTGGCAAGTGCTGCTAGCGAGCGCACACACAGACAAAGATCCCCCGTATAGCCTTCACAGACTGTTTGTGGCAAGTGCTGTTAGCGAGCGCACACGCGCGCGCGGGCTTGTTCTCCAGACGCATTGCCTCATTGCTGCATCATCGCTATCGATAGGCATCGCTTTTGCGTTGTCCGTGGCTCCCAACCGCCAAATGTGCTTGGATGTCTCGTGGCAGAATGCCAGAAATGAAGCCCTCCTGGTTCTTTCTGAGCTCCCCCCCCCCCCACCGCCCACAGCTGAGGTTGAGGTGAGATTCGACGATGCGAGGAAGGTGCCTCGACTCGCCGTGCTGGCTGGGGTGGGGTGGGGGGCGGTGGTGGTGTCACTGAACCAAGGAGCGCCGTGAATGCAAATCATCACCACCACCACCGTCACCACCATCACGAACACCATCTCACGGCACGTGGCCGTCCTATGCCTCTCGCCCTCACGCCTCGACCTGTTCAGCCTCCCCCGCCCGTGTCCTCCGACGCGAGGATTCCCTGCCGCTCCACGCAGAGCGCCTTTTCTCCCGGGATCTGCTGCGCCCGGATGAACGGCTCATGGCCGCCGACGCCCTTGGTGGCGTCCGGGGGGCCGTAGTCGGACTCGGCCACCATGCTCTCCTGATCCTCGGGCGGGCACGGCGACCTCTGAAGGCGTAGGTAGCACCAGCAGCCGCAGACGAGGGCGCCCAGCGCCGCCACGGCGATGAGGATCACGAGCACCGTGACCACGCCGGTGGTCGCGCTGTGGTCCAGCGCCCACATGGCGACAGCGTTCGCGTGTGTCTGTGTGTGTGTGTCTGTGTGTGTCTGTGTGTGTATGTGTGTCTGTGTGTGTGTCTGTGTATGTGTGTCTGTCTGTGTGTCTGTGTGTTTGTCTGTGTGTGTGTGTCTGTGTGTGTGTCTGTGTGTGTGGTGGTAGCGTAGTGGTTAGCGCTACGCTGCGCTATGGACCTGGCGACCCGGGTTCGATTCCCGCTCACGGCGAACACCCAGTGACGATTATCTGAACCGGTCCTGGGCCTCCCCTAGGTCGACCCAGCATCAAATGAGTACCCGGTGCGGTGTGTAAACATCGCCGCTGGGGAGGCAAAGGTGGCCGGGCGTGGTGCTGGCCACGCACCCCCTCATGTGCTGTGCCGGCCTTTATAGGTGCTCGCTAACAGCACTTGCCCCCACAATCTGTTTAGGCTATACGGGGGATCTTTTTCTTTGTTTTGTGTGTGTCTGTGTGTGTGTCTGTGTTTGTGTGTCTATGTGTGTGTGTGCGGAGATCGAGAGATTTTAGAGATTTGAGAGCGAGACAGTGTGCTGCAGATGTGCCTGGCGCTGCTGCTGATGATGCTGCTGCTGTTGATGATGACGCCGCTGATGCTGCGGCTGCTCTGGCTGGTGCTGCTGATGATGCTGCTGTGGCTGGCGCTTCTGATGATGATGCTGATGCTGCTGCTGTGACTCGCACTTCTGATGCTGCGCGCTTCCGCCAATTCTTCGGCGTCTCGCTGCTTGTGATCGTGGCGTCCTCAACTCCTCCGTCCAAACCAGTGATTACGAGCTGCCTCCTCTTCACACAGATGTGATGGGCGACTGGTATCGCTGATGCCGAAGTGCCGCTGCTGCCACTGCCAGCCACGTGGAAGTGGAGTCCTCGCGATGGTTTGGCGCAAGTCGAGAGCTCGAATCTCAAACTCTTTTGAGTGTTTTGCAACTCGGTGAACGAGAGAAAGAGAGAGTGAGAGAGAGAGAGAGAGCGCGAGTCCACGTCAAGGGGGCCCAATCGATTAAATCGACGCGTGTACAAGAGGGCGCTGTGTTATTTCACTCTGCGACCAAGTCTTGCGCGGGATGGGGGTGTGGGAACCCTGAAAGAACGAATCGCCAAAAGTTCTGCAACGATCGCGTTCGGCACAACGATGACGCAGCCAGCGGCGAACGCGGATCCTCTGCCGCCTCCCCCACCCCAAGCCAGCCGGAGAACAGGAAGGATCCCGCCACGTGGGTAGCGGTGCACCGTCGGCGGGCAGGGAGTGGGGGTGATGCAGGAGCAAGGAGCAAGGGAGTCGTTGTGGTGGTGGGGTGGAGGGTGAAGTTTCCGGGGTTGTGAGATGATGATGATGATGGCTTTGGGGCTACGCGGAATCTGTCCGGGAGTGACCGACGATCGGTGACTCTCGGCAGCTTCCGTGGTTGATCACCTACCCGTGGCGATGTTTGTTGTTGATGTTGTTGTTGCTGCTGCTGTAAACGTTCTGACCCCGTGCCCCTACTGGGACATCTGTGACAAGAGAGCTTTGTCGGTCAGTCGGATTGCTCCCCCCACGCGGTATAAATCAACAATCGGATTCTGAATTCTGACGAATCGTCGTCGCCTTGCCTCGCGGTCGCGAACGTTCGCGACACAGCCCACGTGCCCCACGTCGCGCAAGTGGCACATTTTGAAGTGAACGAAAAAAAAAAGGAATGGCGTGGAATCGACGACGCCGGCGTTCGTTACGGAATTATCGTAACGAGTTCCCCGTCATCGGCCGTCGAGCGCTCTCCTCTCGTGCATCTGCTCGCGGCCTGCGTCCCGTGCGTCGCAGATTGCCGAGACGGTCGAACGGGCCCGAGTGACGGGGCTCGATGGATGATGAAAGCCCGCGCTCTTCAGCGCGAGTTCCCGGGTCGTCTCCTCCTCCTCCTCCTTCGTCTTCTTCCTCCTCCTCCTCCTTTTCGCAGCACCACGGCGGCCACGTGGTTGGTCACTGCATCCGCGGTGCGGTAAAAGGCGCGTTACGAACGTTCGATAGGGGCCAGAGGTCACCATCATCATCATCATGAAATCCACTGCTGGATGAATGTCTATCCAAGCCACCTCCAGCAGCATTAGCATCAGTCCAGGGTCAATCCACTGCTGGATGAAGGCCTACTCAAGCCAACTCCGGCAGCATTAGCATCAGTCCAGGGTCAATCCACTGCTGGATGAAGGCCTACCAAAGCCACATCCAGCATTATGATTTACAATCGGGTTTTAATCCCCCCTGAAATTTTACTTGGAACGGTTACCGTCTTTCCTGACGTTAGTTTTTTTTACAAGTTATAATTTAATAAATAGACGTCACTATGTATTGATGCTGCGTTGGAAGTGGTGAACAAATTTTAAAAAAGAAGTCCAGGACACGGCCGTCAATAACGCGGAACTGGCTCAGGCTCAGGGATGTGCTCCCAGACCCTCGACAAACTGCGCTGAGCAGGATCGCGCCCACGAGGTTCACACGAGGGGTGGACGGCAGCGGGGTGGACGGTAGCGGGGTGGACGGCAGCGGGGTGGACGGCAGCGGGGTGGACGGCAGCGGGGTGGATGGCAGCGTGGTGGACGGCAGCGGGGTGGACAACAGAGGGGTGGACGGCAGTGGGGTGGACGGCAGCGGGGTAGACGGCAGCGGGGTGGACGGCAGCGGGGTGGACGGCAGCGGGGTGGACAACAGCAGGTCGCCGCGAGCACGTGGGTCGTAGTCGGAGTCGATTTGGAGGAGGAGCAGCGACACGACACGAACTCTCTCTCTGGTGAAGCCCTCTCGTCGGGGCCAGCAGCAGCAGCAGCAACTTCAGCAGTAGCAGCAGCAGGCAGCAGCAGCAGTCATTAGCAGCAGCAGCAGTCATTAGCAGCAGCAGAAATAGCAGCAGCAGTAGGTAGCAGCAGCAACAGCAGCAAGAGCTGCTGAACATCGTGATTCAAGTCGAGCATCCCACACCCCTCTCCGACCAACCCCCCTCCGACCCCCCCCCTCCGACCCCCCCCCCCCTCCGAACCCCCCCTCCGACCCCCCGCCCCCTCCGACTCTCAACCATGACCAGACTCTCAACCATGACCAGACTCTCAACCATGGACCAGAATCTCAACCATGACCAGACTCTCAACCATGGACCAGACTCTCAACAATGACCAGACTCTCAACCATGGACCAGACTCTAAACCATGACCAGACTCTCAACCATGGACCAGACTCTCAACCATGGACCAGACTCTCAACCATGACCAGACTCTCAACCATGACCAGACTCTCAACCATGACCAGACTCTCAACCATGACCAGACTCTCAACCATGGACCAGACTCTAGACCATGACCAGACTCTCAACCATGACCAGACTCTCAACCATGGACCAGACTCTCAACAATGACCAGACTCTCAACAATAGACCAGACTCTCAACCATGGACCAGACTCTCAACCATGGACCAGACTCTCAACAATGACCAGACTCTCAACCATGGACCAGACTCTCAACCATGACCAGACTCTCAACCATGACCAGACTCTCAACCATGACCAGACTCTCAACCATGACCAGACTCTCAACCATGGACCAGACTCTCAACCATGACCAGACTCTCAACCATGACCAGACTCTCAACCATGACCAGACTCTCAACCATGGACCAGACTCTCAACCATGACCAGACTCTCAACCATGGACCAGACTCTCAACCATGACCAGACTCTCAACCATGGACCAGACTCTCAACCATGACCAGACTCTCAACCATGGACCAGACTCTCAACCATGACCAGACTCTCAACCATGACCAGACTCTCAACCATGACCAGACTCTCAACAATGACCAGACTCTCAACTATGACCAGACTCTCAACCATGACCAGACTCTCAACCATGACCAGACTCTCAACCATGGACCAGACTCTCAACCATGGACCAGACTCTCAAACATGGACCAGACTCTCAACCATGACCAGACTCTCAACCATGGACCATACTCTCAACCATGGACCAGACTCTCAACAATGACCAGACTCTCAACCATGGACCAGACTCTCAACCATGGACCAGACTCTCAACCATGACCAGACTCTCAACCATGACCAGACTCTCAACCATGACCAGACTCTCAACCATGACCAGACTCTCAACCATGACCAGACTCTCAACCATGGACCAGACTCTCAACCATGACCAGACTCTTAACCATGACCAGACTCTTAACCATGACCAGACTCTCAACCATCACCAGACTCTCAACCATGACCAGACTGTCAACCATCACCAGACTCTCAACCATCCGCGATTGTCGAGGTTAGGAGGCTGCGACCTCCCTCGTCAGGGATTCGTCATTCGTGTCGCGAACCTACCCGCCCACCTCCCCTCTCTTTCACAGCGCTTCTTGGTTTGATACACGCACAGGTGGAGTTTGACTTCTATATTTGTGGGGGTTAGGCGGGGGTCAGGGGTTCGTTGTGCCCCTCACATTAGGAATAGCGGGTGCATACAATTCATTGCATTTATTGTTTTTATTCTAAATTGTAAACTACTGAAAATAAATTATGACGGGTGTCCAGTATGGGGGGGGGGGGGGGGGTGGCGTTGTCCCCCCTCGAACCCCCACCCCGCAAAACTCCGCCCATGGATACACGTGACTGCCTGATGCGTTTGGCTGTGTCGGGTGGTTAAGGGTGCCGACGACACAAGACAGGCCATCGTCAAACCCCACCGCGCTTGCGAAAACGGCCGCTTGCATGGAGGCGCGGGCGAGCGATTCCATCCGCCGAGACCCGGCAACTCCGAATTTGAGACTAGCCCGTCCAGGTTGTCCCGTGGGGTCTCTTGGAGCCACGGGAACAACCCCCAGGGCTCACGACGCTCGCCGTTCCATTCATCGACAGATCCCCCTCCCCGTGCGCACGCTCACCCCGCAACTTGCACGCACGTGTCGCGAACAGCACGCGCGATGGGGTGTCGCTGAGCGCGTGTTCGCTCCTAACTTTCGTTCGTTCGTGGGATGTTTTGTTGTTGTTGTGGTTGCTGCTGCTGTTGTTGTTTTGCAAATCTGTTCAAAGTGCGCACGAACGGCAATGGCAGCCAGCAACCAAGGGACTCCTCCACCCCAACGCCCCCGAATGAAGCAACCAATTCTACATGGGCAGCTCGGCTCAGCCCAAAGCAACATCCACCACGCTTACTTAGCCCGATTTAGGCACTGATAGCGCCACTGATGATGCCACTGATGGTGCCACTGATGGTGCCACTGATGGTGCCACTGATGGTGCCATAGATAACGCCACTGATGATGCCACTGATAACGCCACTGATAACGCCACTGATAACGCCACTGACGATGCCACTGACTATGCCACTGATAACGCCACTGATGATGCCACTGACTATGCCACTGATAACGCCACTGATGGTGCCACTGATGGTGCCATTGATAACGCCACTGATGATGCCACTGATGATGCCACTGATAACGCCACTGATAACGCCACTGATGATGCAGCTGATAACGCCACTGACGATGCCACTGATAACGCCACTGACGATGCCACTGATAATGCCACTGATGATGCCACTGAAAAAGCCACTGACGATGCCACTGATAACGCCACTGATGATGCCACTGATAACGCCACTGATGATGCCACTGAAAAAGCCACTGACGATGCCACTGATAACGCCACTGATGATGCCACTGATAACGCCACTAACGATGCCACCTGATAACGCCACTGACGATGCCATTGATAAAGCCACTGATGATGTCACTGATAACGCCACTGATTATGCCACTGACGATGTCATTGACGATGCCACTGATGATGCCACTGACCATGCCACTGACGATGCCACTGATAACGCCACTGACGATGCCACTGACGATGCCACTGATAACGCCACTGATAACGCCACTGATGATGTCACTGATAACGCCACTGATTATGCCACTGACGATGTCACTGACGATGCCACTGATAACGCCACTGATGATGCCACTGATAACGCCACTGATGATGCAACTGATAACGCCACTGACGATGCCACTGATAACGCCACTGATGATGCAACTGATAACGCCACTGATTATGCCACTGATAACGCCACTGATTATGCCACTGATGATGCCACTGATAACGCCACTGATGATGTCACTGATAACGCCACTGACGATGCCACTGATAACGCCACTGACGATGCCACTGATAACGCCACTGATGATGTCACTGATAACGCCACTGACGATGCCACTGATAACGCCACTGATGATGTCATTGATAACGCCACTGATGATGTCACTGATAACGCCACTGATAACGCCACTGACTATGCCACTGATAACGCCACTGACGATGCCACTGATAACGCCACTGATGATGGAACTGATAACGCCACTGACGATGCCACTGATAACGCCACTGATGATGCAATTGATAACGCCACTGACGACGCCACTGACGATGTCACTGACGATGCCACTGACGACGCCACTGACGATGCCACTGACGATGCCACTGTGGTGTCTAGCAGCACGCTGGTCTTGCGATCCCAGAGGGTAACAGGTTCTCTTCGATCTCCCAGCGCGGCAAATCGAAACAATGGTGTAAGTTTCTTAAATCTCCCCTCCCACCTGCTCCCCCCCTCCCCGCCACCCACCCCCACCATACTGTATCTGTTGACCCAGCAGCGGTGTCAATTGTGTGCACCTCAGTGAGTCAATGGACAGGTTAGTCGAATGCGTGGTGGTGATTGCGTGTGGATAATCCTCACCCCTTTCAAGGCCAAAATACCCTCCAGGAGGGGGGGGGGGGGCTCTGGACGCTGCCCTTCTGCTAGCAGCGGTGCGAGCAAGAACTTTCAGGGTTGCGCCTTTACCGCTATAATAATAATAATCATCAAATCTATTGCCAACAACATAATCGCGATCATTGATCGCGCATCACCAGAGGCATTGCGCACAAGATGAATTCCCGCGTAGGGAGTGGTGCGGCCATATGCACCACGCCGGGCCGCCTTTGTCTCCCCCGAATGCCGATGTTTACACGCCGCATCGGTCGTGAGCGGGAAATTTAAAAACTGGGGAGTTCATAGCCGCAGCGCGCTAACCACCGCGCCGCCGCTCCCCGTTCACATGCGCCGACGCCCGACGATGCTGCACAAGTGGGGAAGACCGCCGTCACAGCCCCAGAAGAGAAGCACAGGGGCACAGCAGCACGTGGAACTCGATGTCCGAATAAATCGTCGCACGCGACTGCCTCGTGACGAAAGACGACGGAGACTCGTGGATTCGCGCAGAGATCACCACCCCCCCCACACACACACACACAAAGACTCAGACAAAGACAAATATCCCCCCCCCCTTCCCCGTATAGCCTGAGCAGACTGTTGGGGCAAGTGCTGTTAGCGAGTAGCAGCGCTCTATGATGTCCGGCGCTGCGGCACACGAGGGGCGCGTGGCCAGCACCACGCCCGGCCGCCTTTGTCTCCCCGGTGGCGGTGTTTACTACACACCGCACCAGATACTCATTTGAGGTTGAGTCGACCTAGGGAAGGCCCAGGACCGATGCAGATAATCGTCAGCGGTGTTGGCGGTCGTGAGCCAGGAAATCTAACCCGGGGTGGAGGGCGTCGCCGGGTTCGTAGCGCAGTGCGCTAACCGGTGCGCCACCACTCGCTCGTTCCCCCCCCCCCCCCCCATTCATATGCGTTTGAAAAATACAAAGGTCCCCCGTATAGCCCGAACAGACTGTTGGGGCAAGTGCTGTTAGCGAGTAGCACCTGTGAAGGCCGGAAAGGTTACACGGGGGGGGTGGGTGGCCAGCACCACGCCCGACCGCCTTTGTCTCCCCAGTGGCGACGTCTACACACCGCACCCGGTACTAATTTGAGGCTGAGTCGACCTAGGGGAGGCACAGAACCGGTTCAGATAATCGTCACTGGTGTTGGGCGTGAGCGGGGAATCGAACTCGGGTCGCCAGGTTCGTAGCGCAGCGTAGCGCTAACCGATACACCCACCGCTCCCCACAACTCGCCACCCCATTCGTATGCGTTAGCGCGCGCGCACACGAACAAAGACAAAGATCCCCCGTGTAGCCTCTAACAGACTGTAGGGGCAAGTGCTGTTAGCGAGCACCTATGAAGGCCGGCACGGCACACGAGGGGGTGTGTGGCCAACACCACGCCCGGCCGCCTTTGTCTCCCTAGCGGCGATGTTTACACACGCGCGCGCACACACACACACACGCGCACACACACACACACGCCGCTGTCAACGCAATGAGTTATCATGGCACGTAACGATTAACACGTGCACAAAAAACCCATGAAAACCGCGAAATATTAAAAAAAACCTTACAAGCGAGCAGCGGTCGCGATGTTTGTAGTCGTCGGCTTGCAGCGGTTCAAGCAAAGAAAAAATAAACGCGAATATAATTTAAATATAATTTAAATATATAAAACGTTTAAAATCCTGAGTCGGTCAAAGGCGTCGTTGGTGCGCGCCATGACCGCCGCATTTAAATGTGGCGAGTGGGACGAGAGGGAGCGAGCGCGCTAGGGAGGGTGGGGGTAGGGTGGGGGTAGGGTGGGGGTAGGGTGGGAGGTAGGGTGGGGGTAGGGTGATGGTAGGGTGAGGGTAGGGTGGGGGTAGGGTGAGGGTAGGGTGAGGGTAGGGTGGGGGTAGGGTGGGGGTAGGGTGAGGGTAGGGTGAGGGTAGGGTGGGGGTAGGGTGAGGGTAGGGTGGGGAATGGTGAGGGTAGGGTGATGGTAGGGTGAGGGTAAGGTGGGAGCTAGGGTGAGGGTAGGGTGGGGGTAGGGTGAGGGTAGGGTGATGGTAAGGTGGGGGTAGGGTGAGGGTAGGATGAGGGTAGGGTGGGGGTAGGGTGGAGGTAGGGTGAGGTTAGGGTGGGGGTAGGGTGAGGGTAGGGTGGGGGTAGGGTGAGGGTAGGGTGAGGGTAGGGTGGGGGTATGGTGGGGGTAGGGTGAGGGTAGGGTGATGGTAAGGTGGGGCTAGGGTGGGGCTAGGGTGGGGCTAGGGCGAGGGTAGGGTGATGGTAAGGTGGGGGTAGGGTGAGGGTAGGATGAGGGTAGGGTGGGGGTAGGGTGGGGGTAGGATGAGGGTAGGGTGGGGGTAGGGTGAGGGTAGGGTGAGGGTAGGGTGGGGGTAGGGTGGGGGTAGGGTGAGGGTAGGGTGAGGGTAGGGTGGGGGTATGGGTAGGGTGGGGAATGGTGAGGGTAGGGTGATGGTAGGGTGAGGGTAAGGTGGGAGCTAGGGTGAGGGTAGGGTGGGGGTAGGGTGAGGGTAGGGTGATGGTAAGGTGGGGGTAGGGTGAGGGTAGGATGAGGGTAGGGTGGGGGTAGGGTGGAGGTAGGGGTAGGGTGGAGGTAGGGTGGAGGTAGGGTGGGGGGTAGGGTGAGGGTAGGGTGAGGGTAGGGTGGGGGTAGGGTGGGGGTAGGTGAGGGTAGGGTGATGGTAAGGTGGGGCTAGGGTGGGGCTAGGGTGGGGCTAGGGCGAGGGTAGGGGTGATGGTAAGGTGGGGGTAGGGTGAGGGTAGGATGAGGGTAGGGTGGGGGTAGGGTGGGGGTAGGATGAGGGTAGGGTGGGGGTAGGGTGGGGGTAGGGTGAGGGTAGGGTGATGGTAGGGTGGGGGTAGGGTGGGGGTAGGGTGAGGGTAGGGTGGGGGTAGGGTGGGGGTAGGATGAGGGTAGGGTGGGGGTAGGGTGGGGGTAGGGTGAGGGTAGGGTGATGGTAGGGTGGGGGTAGGGTGGGGGTAGGGTGAGGGTAGGGTGGGGGTAGGGTGGGGGTAGGGTGAGGGTAGGGTAGGGAATGGTGAGGGTAGGGTGATGGTAGGGTGAGGGTAAGGTGGGAGCTAGGGTGAGGGTAGGGTGAGGGTAGGGTGGGGGTAGGGTGATGGTAAGGTGATGGTAGGGTGATGGTAAGGTGGGAGCTAGGGTGAGGGTAGGGTGAGGGTAGGGAGCGAACCCCCAATCCTCCTTGTCTGAGCGGCCGTGCCAAGGCACACAGTGAGCCCCTCTGTGCCGCCTGTCTCTCTCTGACTGTGCGGCGCTGCCCGCCACGGCTGTCATCGTTAAAGCGCCCGCCTCGCTGTTGGCTCTCATTGGTTGGTTTCAAACAAACTGGGGGGGGGGGTGGTGGTGGGGGCCAATCAGACTTTGCTTATTTCTTCGCTCGGATGGAGGAACGTCGCTGCTGCTCCTGGTGCCGCCACGACGAGGGAGCTTCAGCAGAGACCGAGAGACAGAGTTCATGATGGTGGTGGTGGTGGCAGCTGCTGTTGTCACGGCTTCAGCAGAGACAGAGAGAGACAGAGTTCATGATGGTGGTAGCTGCTGCTGTTGTCACGGCTTCAGCAGAGACAGAGAGACAGAGTTCATGATGATGCTGGTGGTGGTGGCAGCTGCTGCTGTCACGGCTTCAGCAGAGACAGAGAGACAGAGTTCATGATGCTGGTGGTGGTGGTGGTGACAGCTGCTGCTATCACGGCTTCAGCAGAGACAGAGAGAGACAGAGTTCATGATGCTGGTGGTGGTGGCTGCTGCTGTCACGGCTTCAGCAGAGACAGAGAGACAGAGTTCATGATGCTGGTGGTGGTGGTGGCTGCTGCTGTCACGGCTTCAGCAGAGACAGAGAGACAGAGTTCATGATGCTGGTGGCAGCTGCTGCTGCTGTCACGGCTTCAGCAGAGACAGAGATACAGAGTTCATGATGATGGTGGCAACAGCAACAGCAGCAGCTGCTGTTGCCACCACCATCATCATGAACTCGGAGTGAGCCTGGACACACGTACAAGAACGCAGCGGCATTTGGTTGACGGCGGTACCGGCGACGATTATGCTGAATCGGTCCTGGGCCTCCCCTAGGTCGACTCAGCCTCAAACGAGCACCTAGTGTGATGTGTGAACATCGCCACTGGGGAGACAAAGGCGGCCTTCGTAGGTGCTCGCGAACAGCACTTGCCCCAACAGTCCATTAAGGCTATATGGGGGGGGGGGGGGGTCTTTGTGCGTGGGGTTTGTGTGTTCTCCCCCTGTTCTGCTTGGGTTTCCTCCGGATTCTCTGGTTGTGTGCCATGACGAGAAAAGAAACAAGGGAAAATTGAATTGTCAATTAATTTAAAGCTTGGGAGAATTGAAAGATAAGCCCACAAAAATATATATCTTTGGTACCTCTTAAGTTGGCAAAAATTCACAATGCTTTTCTTGAACTCTTTTATATCTGGATCACATCTATTTATGATAGCAATGTCACGGCGGTAGCTTTATCTGAGAAAAAAAACGTGTTAGATGGAGGGGAACACGGTAGCATCTTGGATACGGAATTGCGCGGTCAGCCCCGACCCCAGCCCCTACCACAGCTCTTAATGTGGAGGGAAAAACCGGCAGAATCGGAAAATAATCCACGCCAATACGGCCATAAAGAGAGAGAGACACGCAAACTATATACAACGGGCGTCAGGGTTGGGATCGAATCCACGACCTTCTGCACACCAGGCGAGGTAGTTAACATCTCCTAGCCACCGTGATGATGATGACGAGAGACACGCAAACTCCAAATACACAGCAGGCATCGTCAGGGTCGGGATCGAACCCACGACCTCCTGCACACCAGGCGAGGTAGTTAACATCTCCTAGCCACCGTGATGATGATGATGATGAGAGATACGCAAACTCCAAATAAACAGCAGGCGTCGTCAGGGTCGGGATCGAACCCACGACCTCCTGCACACCAGGCGAGGTAGTTAACATCTCCTAGCCACCGTGATGATGATGACGAGAGACACGCAAACTCCAAATACACAGCAGGCATCGTCAGGGTCGGGATCGAACCCACGACCTTCTGCATACCAGGCGAGGTAGTTAACATCTCCTAGCCACCGTGATGATGATGATGATGAGAGACACGCAAACTCCAAATACACAGCAGGCATCGTCAGGGTCGGGATCGAACCCACGACCTCCTGCACACCAGGCGAGGTAGTTAACATCTCCTAGCCACCGTGATGATGATGACGATGAGAGATACGCAAACTCCAAATAAACAGCAGGCGTCGTCAGGGTCGGGATCGAACCCACGAACCTCCTGCACACCAGGCGAGGTAGTTAACATCTCCTAGCCACCGTGATGATGATGATGAGAGACACGCAAACTCCAAATACACAGCAGGCATCGTCAGGGTCGGGATCGAACCCACGACCTCCTGCACACCAGGCGAGGTAGTTAACATCTCCTAACCACCGTGATGATGATGATGAGAGATACGCAAACTCCAAATACACAGCAGGCGTCGTCAGGGTCGGGATCGAACCCACGACCTCCTGCACACCAGGCGAGGTAGTTAACATCTCCTAGCCACCGTGATGATGATGATGAGAGACACGCAAACTCTAAATACACAGCAGGCGTCGTCAGGGTCGGGATCGAACCCACGACCTTCTGCATACCAGGCGAGGTAGTTAACATCTCCTAGCCACCGCAGCGCCCTAATACAAAGCTGAATAATGGCTGGGTGGGTCACGTAGAGACGCGCGCGCGCGTACTCCGTCGG